TCTGTTTACCTTGGAGTTCTTGACAAGATCCAGAGGCGGATATGTAATATAATTGGCCTTGATCTGGCATCTCCTCTACAGTTACTCTCTCACAGACGTGCCGTCGCTTCTCTTTCTCTCTTTTTTTACAAATACTTTCATGGTAATTGCCCCGATGAGCTGCGTTCACTGGTTCCCAGACTTCATAAATTCAAGTGCCCTACGAGGCTAGCATCCCGCTCTCACCCTTTCACTGTAGAAACTTTTAAATGTAGCCGTCTCTTCTACTCCAATAGCTTCATACCTCGCACCTCTCGCCTGTGGAACACCCTTCCCTATTACTGTTTCCCTGAGAGCTATAATCTCCAACTATTCAAATGTAATGTCAATCGACATCTCCAGTAACGTTGATCTATCCACTATCCTCTCCTCATCCTTTCCTTCTATCACTCCTATCTGCTCTCGCTCCAAATCTTCTGCAACCCCTGCATCCTAGTGGCTTCCCCGCCTTGCTCATGTAATGCATAAAAAAAAAAAAAAAAAAAAAAAAAAAAAGAATTGATACATTTTCTTTGTCCTTAAGGATTGACAAAAAAAAATAAACAATGTTTTTTTTCTTTAATTATTTAAACTTTTTATTCATTAGATTGTTTATTGGAATGGTTGGCAAAACATTGGCTAATTGCCAATTCAAGCTTTATAAAATAGTAAATAATAAGGATTTCCTTATAGTTGGTTTGCGTATTTTAATAATTTAGTAAATGTTTATAAATTTAGGAATAAAAAATTGTTTTCTTATTTATTTTTTTATAAATTGGTAAATGATAAATATTGCATCAGTTTTAATTGTATTAGTTTTTGGAATGTTGCAAATATAAAATTATTCTTGTAAATAAACAATCTAATAAATAAATTGTGTTTAATAATTTTTTGTAAATTCTCAAGAACAAAAAAAAAGAGAATAAATTTACTTTCATCATATGTTAAGGTTTTATTACAATTGTAATGATCACTTTTTAAAACAATAAACATTACCAAAGAGTGAAGGTAGTTAAAATAATTTTTTTTTTTTAATAGAATATCCTGACTACACCTTGCAAAAAACTGTCCTTTGATATGCTGTATTTTTTTGTAGGCACAAAGGTCCATGTTTGCATATATACTAAACCAAGTACCTTCACTTATTCACTGAAAAAAACAGCATAGTATGATGAAGAAAGGCACCAAACAATAAAAACAAAGTTTTATCATCAAAATATTTGTTATTAATAGGAAAGACCAAATTATTTTTTTCTTATTCCATTAATTTTTTTTTTTAATCATTTCTAGCACATTCAAAATTTTGGTTAAATTCTTGTTTTTCTTATGTCAGTGGTCTACATAATATTTGCAATTAGTGTTTTAGCACCACTTTTTTTCAGGGGAAAAATATGTTGATTTGGAAATTCTTGCAAAATTCAAATAATTGTCAGATTTTAATGAAACTTTCAGGACTTATCCACAAATGAATGAAATTATTTTTGAAATTTGTTGACTATTGTCCTCATCTTTGTTGCCATCTTTGTCCGAATAATGTAAATAGTGTACATAATACCTTATCTCAGAAATACAGACAGATAATAAATTTAAAGTCAACAGTCCTTAAATTAGATTATGGGGGAATATTTTTTAACATTTTTAAGATTACTGAGTACTTAAAAATTACATAAAAAAAAACACTCACCCATCATTTTCTTAAATTATGTTTTAACAGATAAAGTCTCTGTAGAACAACAATAAAGATACTGACACATTTATCTACACTTGTTAAGCGATCTACAAGTGACAAGTGCATAATCACTGCTACTGTTTGTTTTAAAAATCCATTTCTCTGTAATTTTTTTTTTTTACTTAAAATAATTAATATTTTTTTTCAAATCAGATTAATTATACTTCAAATCAACTAATATTCCTTAAATAAAGTTTCAGAAAAGTATATTATATTTTGGAAGATTTTCAAAACTGAGAATTTTTGTTTACAAATGTGTCAAAAAGGGATAATTTTAAATGAAAGCGACCAAAAAGTTGAGATTCCAATCAATATAATTTCTATTTGGAATACATCAGAATATTTGATTTATTGAAAATAGTAAATTAAATCATTTAGCTTTCAATTAAAGCTTAAACGAAAGCTTTTCCTTTTTTAAAAATTCATTTTAAGCCTTAGGTATTGAAAATTTAGTGGTGGTACCTACACCAAACTTAACACAAATATTAGAATGGCAGTAGGTACTGTGTCAGTTTTAATTACAGTTAGACAACCAAGATGTTGCTGAATTTAGAGAGAGAGAGAAAATGAGAAACAGGATAGGAAGGTAAGAAGATAGAAAAAAAAAGTAAGACAGAAAGAAAAAGAGAAAAGTAATAATAGTTGGAATTATTTATTTCACATTACCATAAGCCATCAACATTACAGGGAGGTTTGGGATGACAAAAAAATCAAAACTCTTTCACTTTTTGTTTGGAATAAACAACACAAAAAAAAAAAAAAAAAAATTACAATGTTTGCTCAGTACAAGGCCCAAGAGCCACTCGAGGCAGAGGCTTACAGTATAGGAGGCACAGCTTATAGTGTTATGTGAGGAAGATAACAGCTAAACCTAGACTTGAACAGACTAAGATTGTAGCGATTAGGGAAGCATCATCTTGGGAATTGGCTTCACAAAGCAGCAGTTCTTGGCCTCAATCTATGACAATGGCTATTGAGTTCATCATATCACTTGTCATAAATCATTAAGGTCATTAATTTTTTTAAATAAATTCTCAAAATGGATCTTTCTTTCCCTCAGTTTTTCTAAAACTTTTGTATAAACCTCCTAAGTGGAAAAAGTCTATAGCTTTCATTCTCATATATAAATACAGACAGACAGAAGGGTGGGAATTATATTAAAAAATAAAAAATAAAACAATGTTCATAAGTTTTTTTTTTTTTGTAAATATTCATTTTATGAGCTAAGCAGATAAAAAAAATATGACCCCTACCATATTCATCATCAAATTTAGCACCTCCTCCAGTTTTAAGACTTATTTTGTGGTGCCATGCTTGCCAAAAGGAGGGAGGGATGTTGGATTTAATGGCATGTCAACTCCTATTTCTTGCCAAAAGGTGAGTTAAAAAATAAAAAATGTTTTACAACAACAGATCTTACATTTGAAAGCTTTCTCCATTAACAACACACAATAATCTATGTTACCATAGAAAGGCTTTCCAATAACTTTTCACAATTGTTGTTGGCGAAATCATTGCTGAGTATTGGGGTACTCATAGGCATTACCTTCTCTGTGAAATGAGTCCTTTATTTGATATGAAGAGACATGCACAGCCACTGCCTGGTAGGCTAGGAGGTTTCAGAGGATTGAGAGCTCTGGCTGTTCTTTAGGTTCTTATTGTCTCTTCTATTTGTCCTCTGGTGTTTTTGAAGGATGTTGTTTTTTTGTGGATTGCTCTTCTCCCATTTGTTCTTTCTGCAGCTTCCATCTCCCAGTTGGCCGGATCAATTTAAGTCCTCAGCAAGTTACTTTTGAGCTGATCCTTGAATCGATGACGTGGGGCACAACATGGTCTCTTGTCAGAAACAAGCTCTGAGAAGATTATCTGTTTGGGTAGACGGATGTTTGGCATTCAAACAAGGTGTCCAGCTTATCGAAGTTGGATAGTTTCGGATTTGTCTGGATATCTCTGCCAGCATTCTTCAGATCCTGAAGGTGTCTGGTCCATTAAAGTTGGTGAGTCATGGATAAGAACTTTGTTGTTCGTGATCCAGACCTGCCATGTGTTCCACAGGATTTGACAAAGGTTCATTTGATGGAATCTTTCAAGTTTGCCGATGTCTCTTTGGTAGAGTACCTAGGTCTCGCAGATGTATAGGAGAGTCAAGATTACAATGGCCTAATAGTTTTTCACAATATTTACATTTTAACATTATCTTCAAGTGACACTGTAACCTCAATTCAATACGGAATTTAATTTATGTATTTTAAAGATGTCTCTACTGCAGTCAACTTTTCTTTTTAATCACCTCCCATCCCTACAAGCAAGGCGATAATGCCACTAAGATGCAAGGGGTTACTGAGAGTGAAGGAGAATGAGAAGACTTCAGTGAGGAGAAAAGACAGAAGATGGCAATTGGTGTTGCATTTCAACTTTTTAAGATCATGGGTAGCAAGGAAACATGAGACTTCCACAGGTGAGAAGTGCAAGAAAAGAAACTATTAGAATAGGACAGAAGATTGCATCTAGCTAGTTCAACAGTAAAATGGTAAGACTTAATTGCTAATCTACTAGTACACATAAATATATAAGTTGAGGCACCAAGGAGGAAAGCACATTAGAACAATTGCCATGAAAATATTTATAGAAAAGACAGAGGGAAGCCATGATAGAGCCATGGGAAAAATCAAAATTTCAATAGTACTTGTGGGAATTTTGGTTGAAATAGACAAGGACTGGAAGGAAATCTTCCCAGGAGTTTTTGTTTTTTGACTAAAATGGTTCTAAAGAAAAAAAAATTGTGGAGGAAGAGAGATTGTTATAGATGACATCTATTTCATAAAGTTAAGCATTTTATTCAAATTGGTTTGCCTGAAAAGTTCATTGATGTCTCTTATGGTTATAGAGAATTTTTTCCCCCAGATATAATTTTAAAAAGTCAGTTCTGTCTCTAAAATTATACTTTGGTTTCCAGAGAAATTGCCAACAAGTTCTTGAACTGGTTAACCAACATATGTGGAACAGAAGGCATTGTTGGATGTCTAACAAAGGTGAAGCACCTTCTTTAATGACGTGGATCATTTAAGGTTTCAATAGCATGTTGGGAAATTTTAGTTGGATTAGACTTGTCTGTTGAAGAATTGAGTGATGTCCGTCTCACCAAAGAAGGTGCTTCACTTTCACTAGTTAACCAACAGTGTCTTCAGCACCACATGTTGGTAATATGTAGATATGCAAGACATAAAAAAAAAGACAGAGAAAATGTACTGAC